TATTTTATTCTCACCATATTAATACTCTTTTTACTAACTCGGCCTTAAAAGTAGCTCTGCTGTCAATTTCACAAGAAGAGCACCTGGACAACACAAAGGGACCAAAGAAGTGTTTATCTCAAAGTGAATACGTGGGCAGTGGAAGGAGCAGTGGCCAAATCAGGCGTCCCGGAGTCCAAACCGCCAGTCAAGTTATAACAACTCAAGGGCCAGAGTCCCTTTCTTGCTGTGTAATAAAGGAGCCTTAGAACAAAGACTCCTGAGTTCTGGCTCCAGACTCCCTACCTTACTCTGAGAAGGTAGCTATCTATCTCCTTATTTCTCTCCCTTCTCCAAAAAAAATAATTTTGTTCCCTATTTCTCTTCTCTTTCAAATAAAGTGATTTTGTTTCCCCTTCTAAAGTTATATCTCTAATTCTTTTATTGATGTAGGTTGTTTTTCTTTCTTTTCTTTTTTTTTTTTTGAGACAGGATCTCACTATGTAGTGAGACTGACCTGGAACTCACTATGTAGCCCAGGCTGGTCTCAAACTCACAGCGATCCTCCTGCCTCAGCCTCCCGAGTGCTGGGATTACAGGCATGCACCACTATACCCGACCTCTAATTAATTATTTACTGGAGCTGTGTTATGATCCTGGTGTGCTGCTCAGACAACAGAACAGCAGTGCTTGTCCCGCAGATACAACATAAGCACCCTAAGAAGCACCAGGTATACATACAGTGCTTATGTTTGTGTTTTCCCAATGCAACTCAGCCACAGGAGACAGAATTCTCCTTCGTTCTTCCTGTATCACCAAAAGAGAAGGACAAGGGGCGTTGTGGTGGAAGTGAGCCTGCAGAGCGACCCTGGTGTGGGCTGCCCATCTGCACTGCGTGTTGGCACTTGGGGATCTACAGTCTCCACTGAGGTGCCTTTCTGGGGATACTGTCCCTGGCTGTAGCCTTCCAGCCTGCTCCCCTGGCATTTTTTTGTTAGGTGACCTATTAGGACCTTTTGTTTGTGCTGAAGAAAACTGACTGATACCGATATTAATATTTTTTTATTGAGTTTATTGGTACTTTTAAAGTATACAGTACAGTTACATTCATCACTGGGATCTTGTACCTTTCCAGACAGATGTTGGTTCACATTTTTTCCCCATATCCCTGCCCTCTGCAGATGTTAATATTGAGTGCTTACTTCCTCACTTAGTACGTTACACTCATTATCTTATTAACTCTTGCAGACTTGAGGCATAGATGTTAACTCACTGTACAGATAAGCAAACCAGCTCAGAGAGGCACAGTGACTTGACCAAGTTTACATAGCCAGTGCGTGACAGAGACAGGGTTCAGGCCCAGGTGTGACTTCAAATTGCTCTCCCAAAGTGCCTTCAAATGGTGGCTAAAAGGCCCTTGTAGGATTTTCTTTTGCAATACTTGCTGCTGTCTGTGATGACACAGTACAGCTCAGCGCTGTCTGGAGAAGGAATCATGTGAATCTGGTCTCTAAGCTAGAAAGACAGATGGCTCTAGGCCACTGGGAGAGCTTCCAGGAGCACTGACTGTACCTTACTTGGGTCAGTACTTCAACTCCAGAAGTCTCCTCCCTACTGTCCCTTAGACTAGAGACATTTTCTTTATGAGGTCTGAGTTCAGCTGTCAGTGGGTGGCCTGATTCCTATGAAAACATAAAGATAGAAAACATCTGGGCAACTGTCACTGCCAGGCAACAATCAACTATTCACTAATTTGACAGAGTCAAAGAGGCTCTCTGATGCTAACAGAGGTTTGTGCACCCAAGGCCTGGAGACCTAGATTCTGGTTCTGACTTTCTACGTGATCTTGGGCAAGTCTCTACCTTTCTTTGATTTTTTTTTTTTTTTTGAGACAGGGTCTCACTATGTAGTTGAGACTGATCTGGAACTCACTGTGTAGCCCAGGCTGGTCTCGAACTCACAGTGATCCTCCTGCCTCAGCCTCCCGAGTGCTGGGATTATAGGGGTGTGCCACCACACCCAGCGTCTCTGCCTTTCTGAGAGAGAGAGAGAGAGAGAGAGAGAGAGAGAGAACAAGCTACAAATGTGTAGCTATCAGGCAGTCAGCGTTAGAATGAGGTAGGTTAGGGAAGACTCAGTTCTCCTGTCCATCATGCCCTAGGCTGTCCTGCCACCTAAGGGCAAAGGGCATTTCCTTTCCCAGCCTGAGTTAATTCTGGCCATCCAGACTATCCCAGGCTCACTCTGGCAGGTTGGAATCTGGGAATTATCCTCATACCCACAAGTTAGCATAGCTACCGCCTACCCAACAGATGTTTCCCCACTCAGAATTTCTTCAGTTTCTGCCAAAGGAAGCCACCCAGCTCTGGGTGTTCCCCTAAACACCCATCAAAGGCCCTTCTGACGCTGCCTGCAGAGGTTGCACAGATGGTAAACCCTACGGGCATTCTGTTTCACTGTGATCAGCAGAGCTGACACAGTCTATCTCAAAACCATTATAAAATATAATGACAGCAGCTGCCATTTGCTGGGCCTGGCCCAGCACCAAATGATTTATGTGCATGATCTCATTTAATCCTTATACAATCCAGAGGGTTGGCAATGGAGGCTACTATTGTACAGATAAAGAGATGGGACCCCAGAGCGGAAAAAGATTCAACCTAAGATCTCCTACATGGTGGAGGCAGGATTCCAACTCTGGACCAGGAGTTTAACTATAGGGTGCTGCTTCCCCAGGATCCCAAGAGAGCACGTCAAAGCGAGGGTGCAGCCTGCTCCCAATCCCCACTTTACGGATGGACAAGTCAAGTCCCAGAGAGCAGTGACTGGCTCATGTTCACACAGCAAGTCAATTCCAGAGAAGTTTCTAGTATGACTCTTCTCAAAGCCTCTCTACCCTATTCCAGAAAACAAAAAGTGTCTTATGAAGAAGCAGTAGATAAACAAGAAATCCCAAGTCTTTAGAAATCCCCAGCATTTCTGAGGAAGTCAAACAGTGCATAAAGTTTACCAAGAATGATCTCCCAGAAGTTCTCAGGGGTAGAGAGGAGAGTCCCAGCATCCCTCTGGGCAGCGAGGGGCTCTGGATGTCACTCTTTTGGGCCTCCAGATGAAGCCTCGACTCTAGCCACTTGCTGAGTTGACATGCAAACCCAGAATAGTCTCCCTCATAATTGTCTTGCCTGGCTAATGCCCACCTGTCCTCATTGAAATTCAGTGTCACCTCCTCTGGGAAGGCCTTGATGAGCTCCCACACTCCCCAGGTTTTCTTACCGTTCCAACTCTTTTCCATAATAGGACTGACCCAGTTTGCCCTGCGGACTCACGTCAGAGACACGTTAACTAATGCCAACTTTAGAACCTACCCTCTACTCATTGACCTCCAAAGACGCCGCTCTAGGATCTGGCATTATCCTCATAAAAGCAAGCTCATCTTTTAACATGTCGTAACATGATGGATGTTTAACATAAAAACCGATTCGAGTCAGCCCTGCAGCCTCCCGGAGTACTCCCAAATTCCCTGCCCAACCTCAGTTCAGTCCTGGACATGGGGTCACTTCCTTAAAGGCAGAGCAGCTTTGGGTCCAGATATCTTGAGATAGGCTTTCTTTGAGTTATTTCTTTTCGTCTGGATCATTCATTGATTCTCAGACCTGAGTGTGCAAAAATCATTGTGCAGTCTTTTCCTTGTGTGTGTGTGTGTCTGCGCTAAAGGGACGTATGCATGTTAAGCACTTGCACCACCACTGAACTACACCTTCAGCCCCAGTCTACCTAATTTAAGGTTTTTAGGTGTAATTTTAAATGATAATGCTCTTTCCCTTTAATGCTGCCTTTAAAACTGAGGCTCCTTCAGAGACACCCTTGCTATAATTATGAACGTGAAAGAGTACCGAATTTCTGCACACTGCCTCCACCCGCCCCCTGCCAGACTGGAAGCCCCATCCCCATGAGAATCTGTTTGGCTCATCTCTCTGTACCTGTGGCCAGCACAAAGCCAGGCACAGAGAAAGTGCTTAGGAAATGTTTCCCGAAGGAACCGATCACACATGTTTACTTGTGAAAATAACACCAAAGTGGTCTCTGTAGGCCTAGGTGGCTACAGGTGCTCATTCTTCAAGGCCAGGTGCCACATGTTCACCTCTGTGCACCTGCTCCCTGCTTGATCAAGGGCAGCAGCAGGGTGAACGTGAATGTGGATGTGCATCTCTATTTGTTCACACCAGAGGCCATTTATTATCTTACAGTTCTGGAGATCAAAAGTTCAACACGGGTCTTTTGGCAGCTAAAATCAAGATGGGGACTGGGAAGGCAGCTCAGGATTAGAGGACTTGCTTAGCATGTTCAAGGCTCTCGTGCTGCTAAATAAGTATCATGGCATGGACAGGTCTGCATTCTTCTCGGAGGTTCTAGGGAGAGAACTCCTTTGACTTTTTTCCTGTCCCTCTTTTTTTTTTTTTTTTTTTTTTGGAGGTACTGAGACTCAAACCCAGGACCTTCACACTGAGCTACATCCCAAGTCCCTTTACTTTTTAAAAGTTTTGAGACAGGGTCTCGCTAAGTTGCTAAATCGTGGTTCTCCTCCCTCAGCCTCCCAGAGTGCTGGGGTCACAGACATGCACCACCACCCCTGGCCCTCTGCTATCTTCTAGACCTACTTTCCTTTGCTCATAGTCCTCCACCTTCAAAGCCAGCATAGTATCTTCAGAGATTTTTTTGGGGTTTCGAACTCAGGACCTCACGCTTGTGAGGCAGGAGGCAGAACCTCTGAGCTAAATCCCCAGTCCCAACACAGTATCTTCAAATCTCTCTTATAAAGACCCTTGTGATAACACCAGAATAATATACTTGGTTAATAATCTCAGGTGATCTCCTCACTTCGAAACCCTTGGGCAGGGGATGTAACAGTGATAAATCACAGGGATCAAACTCTAGTACTGCCAAGAAGAAAACAGTACTTCTAAGATCCTTCATTCAGATTCAGGCATGTGATATTGGTCTGTCATCTCAGCACTCGGGAGGCTGAGGAAGAAAGATCACAAGTTCAAGGCCAGCCTGGACTATATAAAGAGACACTGACTCAAAACATCAAAACAAAACAAAACAAAACAAAACAAAAAATCAAGCCTTAATCATACCAGCAAACTCTCTCTTGCCATCTAAGGCTCTGGGGTCTAGGGCCATCGTGAGATTTTAATGTGGTCATTAGCCTACTGCATCTTA